TCTGATGGCTCGAACGATGGCGCATCTCGTCGAAAAGAGCCGGAATATCGCCGGAGTTCGACGAGATTTCACCGTCGGTGAATAGACCGGTCAGTCGTCGCGTGTGTGATTTAATATGATTGATTAATTATATTCGTGCCGCGATGGCGGTTTACTTTAATCGCGACGGTGCGGAATCTCTTCCACAGTTATTTTGTCCAAGTCATACTAATTTTGCTTACGGGAAAATATTATTGGCAGAAGTGTCAATAACCCTCTTACCCTCCTCCCCCCCTCTGCGCGCCGAATAATCGATATGGGCTTTTCAATTTTGTGGCACTTATTTAACGCACGTTCACATAACAGGTAATCTGACGTGAGATCCAATTTCAGCATTTTACTCTTATTTACTTTAAATGTTTTGTCGACAATTGATTTTTCCTGATTTTTTCTTGTTTTTTTTTTTTTTTTTTTTTTTTTTATTTTTTTTTAGATTTAATTCTCTTGTGTTTTATTCTTATAAAATTATGATCGAACTTACGCGACTCGAATTTCAATTACTCGATGGTGAATGCACCTACATCATACCTAACGATCCGAGGTTTTGACGGGATTTCTCCGTGCGGATTCGTCAGAAATCCTGGATTTTCGCGCCGAATTCTTCCGAACAGACGTGCGTTATCGGATTAACAAGAAGAAAGGGAACAAGAGAAAGAGTAAGAGAGTAAGAGAGAGAGTAAGAGAGAGAGAGAAAGTGTGTGTGTACGAGAAGAGCGTCGACGTGGACGTCAGGTCGGATATATTTCTCTCGGAGAAGTGCAATGTCGGGTGTGTCGGTATCGGAAAAGCCGGACTGGAATAAACGAGAGAACTGCGAAATGGGTTGCGGGAACAAGGTTAAGGATATCGGGAATTCTCATGGCGAAATAGCGAACGGCACATAAAGTAACACACGTAAACACACGCGGGATGAAATTTATAACTCAAATACCATTAGAGAGCGTGCGCGCGCGCGCGCGCACGTTTAAGAGAGCGCACTTTCGGAAGAAGTTGAATCTCATCGCGATTATTATTTTACTCCTCAAGCCTTGCATCTGGATACTTTTTTTCTCCTCCTTCCGTGAGCTCCCTCACGGAAAATAAATTATGCGGCGTATTTCGAGCAGCGACGCCTCTCAAGTGTGAGAGACTTTTGCTTCGTCATTGTTTCAAATATACATTACAAACACGTTTTGCATCTCTCTCTCTCTCTCTCTCTCTCATATACATGCGTTTCTTACATACATAAGACAAATATTTTTGCACATTCGTGCACATAAAATATGCAGGCTTCCCATATGTAGGGTACGTATCATTTTTCACTTTTTATCACATCTCTTTCGCTTTTTTTTTTTACTCTTCTACTTTTTATCATTTCACAGAGAGTATATATCGTTCACGCAGCTTCGCTATCATTCCCTCGCTCTTGTATTATTCTCGTTCTGATCGGGCTTGTCGCGGAATAATAAGCAGATTTATTTTTCTCCCCCTGTCGATCTTTCATTCGTGTTTTTTTTCTCTCTCTCTCTCTCTCTTTCTCTCTTCGTTTTTTTTCCCTCTTCTTGCGTCGGATTCCCCGTGAGGTTTGCGGGCTCGTTGGTTACCAGGCAAGAAAATGTATCCTAGCCGTTACGATGATGGAACTTGAAGTCGAGCGCGCTCGAGAAGATAGCGGGTTGCGCCAGGTGAAATTCTCTCCCCTCGCTCCTCTTTCTCTCTCGTTGTTGTTGTTGAAAGCACAACAACGACGTCGGGGGAACAAGGAATCCGATCCGGGCCGCTCTTCACGATCGCATATCGAAACGTCAGTCGTAATTGTCGCAACGTTTCGAAATCGATACCGAAACGCGTGGCAGGCGATAAAGCCGCGACGGCGGAATCGATTTGGTATTAAAATTTCACGCCGACGAGAGCGAGAATCGAATGGATTACGGATTACGGAAATCGTCGGGCTGAATGGATTCTCTTCGCTGAAAAGGCGGATATACGTTAGAGCGAAAAAGCTTGAGAGAGTCGTCATATCGAATACCGGACTAAAATAAATTAAGCGGAGAATGTATCTTATCTAAACTCACCTATCCTACATCTTATATATACATAAAATATACATATATAAATATTCTGGACGCAAGAACGCGATATAACGTTAATTTAAAGTTTTTTTTAAGCCACGGACCGATATTTTCATAAATTGCGCGCACGACCGCGATATTTTACAATATATTAAATAAAAAAAAAAAAAAGAGAGAGATAAAGAGAGAGGTAACCCGGGAAACTAGAAGAGAAAGCTTCGAAACGGGTCTGAGAAACAAGGTTAAGCGCTGGGATATCGGAATGTCCGGCGAGGTGGAAAAAGGATTCGTACAGAATACGGCGGCGGCAACTGTACAAATAAAATAGAGTTCCTCGGAAAAATCAAAGACGAGAGAAAAATACGGTGTCTCTCTTTCTCCCTCTCTCTCTCTCTCTCTCTCTCTCTCCCTCTCTCTCTCTCTCTCGACGCGTTCGCCGTATTGCGGTGGTTTAGCAGCGCGCACGGCCGTTTAAACGCCGACCAAGCAAATAGAATGAAAATCGGTTCGGGAGAGAGAAAGAGACGCGTTCTCTCAGAAAGGAGAATCGACTTCGCCGAGTAAATTAAAAGCGAAGGACGACACATCGTTGTTGACGTTTTCCACAAAGTGCACGCAAAAAACAAAAAAAAAAAAAAAAAACAAAACAAGAGAAAACACGAGCTTTTAGAAAAGGGATCTATTAAAAAATCCGCGCGCGATAGCTTTTGTTCTACGCCGTTTTGTAATCAATTGTCGTTAGAGAGTGACGTTTATTTCATGCACTTATTTTTAACTCTAAAAAATAACAAGCGCATTGAGACACCAGCTTCAAATAAAATATATAATCGCGTAATAAAAACACGATTATATTAGCGAAGAGATAGATCTTTTGTTCTCGCGCGTGCATTTTTTTCGATACGACTGAGTAAATAAAATTAATACGTTTTCTCTCTCTGCGCGAGTGTTTTTTTTTTTTTTTTTTTTTTTTTAATCTCTTGAAAAATGATGATGAAACTGAAAAACCTCCATCCGTTCTACGTGACGCACGAAGATACAGTTGCCGAATGTGCCTATAGAAGCACTGCGGTCGCGATACGTATATCGGAATTCGCGATACACGTATAAAGTGGGCGAGCCAAAGTAACCGCGGGAGTGCTTCGAAATGGGTTGCGGGAACAAGGTTGAGTTCTAGGATATCGGAATATATGGGCGAGTAACAGTGCAAAGCACTGGCGGGGTAGCAAAGGTGAAATTTATGGTACTGTTGGAAGAGGAGGTTCCCCGAAGGAGGGAAAGAGACGAGGAGAGAGGATGGGAGAGAAAGATGGAAAGAAGAGAGAGAGAGAGAGAAGTGTAGTCGAGGACGTGGAATAAAATTGTTCGGTCTTTACATAAAACACTAGAACGCCTGTCGAAGGCGAGAAACGAAATACCTCGTTTCATCCTGGCGCAACAACATAATTCTGCCGATTCGATTCGCATCGATAGAGACAAATTCGTCTCGTAGAAAAAAAGGAGGAACAAAGGATAAAAAAATAAATAAATAAATAAACAAAACAGAAAAAAAAATAGCGAGAGAAAGGCGCAAAACCGCGTTTGTATCCGGTGAAAATTCTCTCGGCGTGGTGGGATCGGAATACCTGGCCAGCTCCCGTCTCGCGTGGAATAATAGAACGCTCGAGGGCGAATAATATTTAAGAAAGCGGTTTTGCTTCTCCTCTCTCGACTCGAGGTAACGGTGGCGGCAAGCCGCCGTGGAATAAGGATTTTATCGTGAATCGCCGTAACGATCGTCCTTACGACGCGATTCACTCTCTGGAAGGAGCAAAACACCGGCTCCTCGGGATTGGCTCCGGTTCAAGCCGAAACTCAAACGACACAACGCGATTCCTCTCTCTCTCTCTCTCGAAACAACACGCGTAATTCGAAAAACCGCAATAGACATTACCGAGAGTTACTGTTTACCTTCTGACGCGCGCGCGTTTTATTGTTTGTTCGTTGTCCTATCTGAAAATCCTTCCCACATGTAATAAAATCAAAAATAGCGTAGAGAGAAATAAGGGAATTGTATATCCGCGGCGCGAGTCGGGAAAAAGAAAATTGTTGCTTTTCTTCGGCGTATAAAATAAATGTAATTACACACTGTTTCCTTGACATTCATTAAAATTAATTAAGGTTTTTTGCGCCATAAAATTCTCGACACTTAATCGGCCTTGTTAATTTATCAGCTCTCTCTCTCTCTCTCTCTCTCTTTTACTCTCTCTGTTATATAATTGGTAATTGATCGAACGATGCATGCGCGATGTAAGGTGATTATACGACGTGTATTATTAGTTAATTTAATTGGCTGCTCACTCTCTCTGTTTCTATCTCTCTCTCTCTCTCACTCGTTACCGCATCGTCGGTAACGTCGCGTGTACCGGGCAAATGAGAAGCTAATACAGATGACTATGTACCGCGTGTGCGGTACATATTGGACCGCGTTCAAATCGAAACTCAAACAATGCCGCGGACGTGTTTCCCCGGATCGTCAATGGACGCTAAGGAATCTGTGCTAAACGTTTTGCCGCGTGTTCCCGAAATTACTTTGAACTTTAGCCGACTGTCTGCGCCGACGTTTGCCGTTCAATCACGATACACAGTCGAGTAACGGCAAACAATGCATATATCATCAATCAGTTTAACAAGATATGTATTTTGCATTGATACAAAATGTGTTTACTTTTACACATGTGTGTGGAACATGAGAGAAGTGGTTGGTAGTCGTTTCTTCACACCTTGTGTGTGTATGTGTGTGCGCGCGCGCGTGCGCGCGTTTTCAATAAAAATATTTAAACCATTTGAAGTTCTCTGATAAAAATTGCTTCCCGTTTTTGTCCATTAAAAGAGTCAATTAAATAAAAATTAAAAACAACATAAAGAACTTACTTTACGAGTTTGTCGTTGCCCATTTCTCTGTCGATTACTCTGAAATCAAATGAAATTGCGGCAATTAACATGTCGAATCGTTATCGAAAATGCTGTATCAGAGAGAGAGAAAGAGAGAGAGAGAGAGAGAGAGTCACAGGCAAAACATCAGTTGAATGATACCAGGATACGCATATAAATCAATTTCTCGCTGCGAGCTCTGTAATTTTATAATTGCCGCCGCGGCAAGACGATACCGGTCGCGGTAAATTAATTTAACGAGTTTCCGTTCGTCGCCGACCAATTCCTTCGGAATTTTCCATAAGAGCCGTAATCCAGTAAAGAGGTTACGGCAATGCGACCCTTACTGAAAGTGGCTTTAACTAGTTAAAGTTCCTCTCTTGTCGACAGGAAATACCTCTAACCGCGCAGTCGAGACGCTAAAGTCTCATTGGGATTCCGACATATCGATATTACATCGACAGAGAGAGAGAGAGAGAAAGAGAGAGAGAGAGAGAGAGAGAGAGAGAGAGAAAGAGAGAGAGAGAGAGAGAGAATGAGTGAAGCGCAATTATGATGCCGGCGCAATTGTTCTTTATTATGCAGTACAATAAACTGTGAAATAACACGCGTTAAAAAATACAAATTGAATCACCGAGTTTACTCAGATCTTTCCAAAAATACTGTTTGCAGTATATTTCGATCTAATTGGAACGTAAATAATATTTCTGTTTGTGAATTACGATCGATTGGCTTTTGGCGCGCGCGCCGTGTGTTGCAGCAAATCAGAACGCGCCGGGATTTAAAAAAAAAAAATCAATCATCTTTCGCGAAACGAAACGCCCTTCTTAAACGCGGAAAATCGATCGTTTGCGGTTTCGTTCGCCCGCCGCGAAACAAATTCTCTCGACGCACAAACCCCCGGCGGCAAACGTGTTCCCGTCGTTAAAAATGTAGACTCGACGATCTCTTACGAGCGCGGGCATGGTTCATTTGCCTCGTAAAGGCGAAACTAATGGTCGGCGCGGAGTTATGTACCCCGTATTGGCTCGCATTCAAGTCGAAATTCAAACCGTGCTGCGAAACGCGCGGCATGATCACCGACCCACCGACCGACCGGGCCGTTATGACCCCGACTATGAAACACGAAATCGGCCTGTCCGATTATTAACCCTCTCCGGGGGCTAAATTTATGCAAAACGTCGATAATGTCAGGCGATCTCTTGTATTTTAACGTTAATGGCCTAGCCATTAAGCTTCTCATTGGAAAATGGATTTTGTATTAAATGTTTACAAATTTCTCGCTACTGACAACACACAACTGCTGATAATAATTTTGTTTTTATCGTCAATATATTACATTTGTTATTAGAAAAACAAATGAACAAACATAACGTCAGAACAACGCAATTTTATTTCACACAACAACATCCGCAGCGGTCAAAATGAATCAAACGATGAATCACACAATGCGGAAGGAACGCGCGTTCCTACGTCGCGTATCGTTACGTGTTCCTTCGGTATCGGCATCGAAACGATGCCGTGAAACATGTAGTACGTGAGATCACCTACGACGGAGAATCGAGATATTGCCGCCGACCGCGAGAAGCCGAAACATCCTGAAGGAATTTTATTCTCTCATGCGTGAACCATCCGCGCGCCACAAGAACTGCCGCATCGAACGGCATATCGTGACGTTGAAGTCATTCGGTAACGCGGTGATAGTTTCCTCGACCAGCTTCACCATTTCAAAGTAGAAAAAAAAAGAGATCGAACGCGGAAAATCGAAGACACATTACTAAAGTAGTGCAAATAAATTACATACAATTGACGAGATTATTTTTGTTACGGAGATGTGTTCAATTCCCAAAAACTTCCCGCGGATTTAAACAACTAGAACACGTACTCAAATTAAACAATAAAATTTAAATACCGGTAAAAGTTTGGAAATAGTCGCGAACTATTGCTCTCGATAAAATTCATTCGTCGTCGTGGAATATTAATTATGGTGATTGAAAGAGGAAAGGGTGGGGAGGCAATGGGAGGAAGTTATCAGTTCTTGCCGGAGAAATAGTCGCGACTGGATTAGACTCGCGTAATTAGAAATCTTGTCGCGTGGGATAAATGGGAGTAGACATTTCCATTCTCGGGACAGGGAAAACGGACCCTGTAGTTCTGAAATCTGTGCTCGCAATTTCCTTGCTTGTCCAAGAAGGAATGTGTCACGTGCAAACAGGAATGAAATTAACAGAGAATTAATACAAAAGTCGCGAAGTCCGCGTTAAAATAATTCATTTCTCATAAAGGAGAGGCAAAAAAGAAAAAAAAAGAAAATAGAAATGTGTCTGTCACAAATTTCGTAAGTGATGTATAATATTATTACGTAGCTATTTATTATATTATCGAGCGAAGAATAATTGCGTGCATCCTCCCATATATAATATTCCAGTTTCAAGATATCGATACGGTGTTTTATCGCAGTAGCTCTTTACAACAGCTAAATACTTTTTCTCATTACTTGTTCAGTATATAATTAGTTAAAAACACAGATTGCGTTTATATAAACAAACGCGTAATTGAACGCGAGGTTTCACGGATGCCGTAGAAGCGCGAGAGAAAGAGAGATTTTCGCGCGAGAGCGAAATTTCCGGTCGTAAAAACCAGCCCGCGGTGCGAATTATCGGTCACGCGATTCTGACAATTTAGCGTTCCGCGCCGTTTTGTACGGTGACGACGAACTATTCAAATCTCGCCCCCGTCTTCTCGCTCTTCGCCTCGTCGCAGTAAAACAAATCCTTTTATCTCGAGCGAGGCGTTTCGTCTCGTCGAAACCGTAGCCGCGTTCATCCCGCAGGATGTGTTCGGGATGAAGGGCGTGGAGAGGACGACGCAATTCCACACTGGCGGAGAGAGCACTTCGTCGACCACAGCGCAGCAGAGGGGCAAAGGATGGCGAGGGAAGGAAGGGTTGGGCACATTGCGCACAGCAGCGCGACTGCATCCCGCCGCCGTTCTCCGCTCCCTCCGCCGCTCTTATCGCCCTTTCTCGTTGCTGCCGTCCTCTCGCCGCCGGCGACAGTGGCCGCAGACGGCGCATAAGCCACTCGTCATTATTTCATCGAAGTCGCTAGCTGGTTCAACAGGTACGTTTCCGTAACGACGTAATACGCGCGGATTTCGCGTCCGTTTAAGTCGTCGGGCTCGAAGAAAAGCGGCGTAACGAGAATCGGACGAGCGCGGGGGGGAAAAAAACGATGGACGCTTGTGTGCAGGATGTGTCGCGCAATCGCAGATTGTCTGACGTAAGCTCGAGATGAATTTATCGAAATTCGCACAGCTCTTTTTCTTTTTTCTCGTCCGCTGTTGGCGTTTCAACGTTGGAAATATTTTTTGATAAATGAGTAGCGGATTCGAAATCTCGCGAAGTTTGCTCGGGAATTAATAGAGAAACGATAAAGTTTTAATTAGATGCATTTCGCGAGAAAGTTTACGCGATGAAAAAAATTCTTTGATGTTCAATCGCTCGTAACGTTCGAGTATAATCGACGGCTTTTCATTCTTCTCACAATTTTGCATACTATATATATATATATATATATATAAAACGCTCTTTATAAGATTCGGAAAACATGGCCGAGTTTCAGGAGAACACACTCGCGCAACCCGTCCTTCCTCTCGATGTATGCCGATGCAAGACGGGGGAAAATGTCGAACATAGAGAGCTTCAACGGAATCTGGCTACGAGCCAGAGCATTACTTCCGGGAAGGTGAGAGAAAAGAGTGTGCGAGGTGAAATCGGAGAGGATGATACATACGCGAAAAGGAGGATGAGAAACAAGAGAGAGAGAGAGAGAGAGAGAGAGAGAGAGAGAGAGAGAGAGAAAGAGAGAGAGAGAAAGAGAGAACCGTGCGCGCGCGAACCGGTAACCCGAATGAATATTTAATTTCTGCATATCTCATCCCCAAGTAAAGTTCAGAGCGACGGGGATGGCCGGCTCGCTCCCAAGAGAGTGGAAGGAAGAACCCCGTGTCCCTTGTACTTCCCAGCAGCCCCCGTGATATAGGGTAGACAACTCCAGAGAATCTCTCGCCACTGCCACCGCCGCGCTATTACCCTATCCCTGCACAACCCCAATCCTTTCCCGCTATCCGAAGGATATCTCCCTCTCCCTCTCTCTCTCTCTCTCTCTCTCTCTTTTGCTGCTGCTGCTTTTCAGCAGCGTGGTCGCTCGTGGCCGAAGGGCCAATTACGACCTTCCTCACGAGGAGGCGGAGACGGAGGTGAGTGCGACAGAGAAAAAAAAGCAGAGAGGAAGAAAAGAGAAGAGGAATAAAAAGAAACGCGCGCCAGAAGAAGGACGGGGGTGCTGCGGCGAGAGTGGTTGAAGAGAGCAGGGAATGGTCGAGAGAGGGAAAGGTCGTGAAGAGCCGAGGGTGGTCGAAAGGTTTTAGAACGAAGGTATTTCCACGAAGAGATCTGGGGATCTTAGACTCGATGGGCCGCGCATAGACCGTCGAGAGGAGAGTCGGAATATGAACGCGCGCCCGTCGGAGAGAGTCGGTTTGGACGCGCAAGAAGAAGAGAGGGCGGGGGAAGTTTCAGGCGAAAGGATAAAGGCGCGAGCGAGATCGATTAGTGCGCTACCGATGGGGTAACGAAGGAGTAATTTATATAGTGAGATGTGCGCGCGCAAAAGTGAGACGAGAGCTCGGAAAGGAAAGCAAAGTGGAATAGTAAATTACAGCGAGAGAAGAGAAGACCACGCGGTTCTCTCTCAAAAGAAGAATGAAGAATCGGGACGAAGAAAGACTACCGAGGAAAGAAGGACTATGCCGAGAGAGAGAGCTTGGTTGGAGAAATATTTAATTCTACGTTCTATCGTTTTCAACGGCGAAACGTAGTAGTCCATCTATATACATATATATATATATATATATATATGTATAGGTATATATCTGGAGATAATAATGCACTTTTTAAATGAGACTCTCGCTCGATGGAGACCGGATAAAGGAACGGAGATAAGAAGAAAAGAGCTTTAGGGAGCATCAAAGCCGGA